TTGTGTTGTTTTTTTCCCCTCCCTGCTTTGCTTGCTCGGTTCGTTCAGGGGGATCACAAGACTCCCCTCCTCCACACAGAGTATCACGCTCACCGTATAGCCCGGCTTTATGATAAACATGCTCAACCCTCAAGAGCAGCGCGTGGAGCTGAGCTGTGCTTTCAGACCGCTCTTTAAATAGACTTCACCCCTCCGTTTTTCAGCCCAACTTTGTACAGCAGGAAAAACCCAGACCAATAACTAGCTGACTGCGCAATATCAAAAAAAAACAACAACTACCTACTATTCAGTTACATAGGCAATAATTAAAATGAACAGCTACAAGTGTGCGCAGGCGTTCAGATGCTCTGCTTCTGCTCCTCCAAGAATCATCTCTCACCTTTTTTAATCTTATTCTGTAATATTGGACGGGGTAGGTGTGTTTGCATTCATGCTCGCTTTTATATGGATGTGTGTGTGCTTCCTGTGTGTGTGTGTGAGTCGAGGATCTGTACCAGATTTAGGAGTCAAGTGCAAATATGAAAATAATTACCAAAATCTCAGCTGCCTGAAGGAACTCCAGCAGGGCTAATCCTCTCAGCCATTTTTATCCCTGGCTTGGGCTTGTCTACAAAGGGTTTTGAAGGCCTCATAATGCTATGTAAACTAACAATGCCTAAATCTTCTTATGAATTAACCTAGTGGTGATAAAGCTGTGCTGTATTTGCCAATTGCTGAGAACATGACATCTGAAACTCGAGGCAGGATTGGTGTCCAAAAATGCCAAAATGGGAATTTGTCACACACACTAATGTATAAGAAGGTGACTGCAGAAAGAGCACAACGTAAACAGTTTATGATTAACTCAATTAATTAATGATTTTGTTGTCAAATGGCAAAAAAGTACAGCAAAAAAAGCCATCAGGGCTTTCATATGGAATATAACATAATGCATTAAATGGGTTTGTTTGATCATTAGCAGTCAAAAACCTTGAGAGAATGAATTCATAATTATTCACTTTACACTTAATGCGTCTGTGTATAGCATAAAGAATTCAATCTAAATAGGATCAACTCTGTAACAGCAATCTACTCAGTTGCTACTGCATGAATAACTCGCTTAACACGTTGGCACACATGAACCAACACCACAGCGTCACCGCTATAAGGATTTGAGCAGGAGGTAGCACATGAGGTCAACAGCTGTGTTTGATTTGAAGCGAACCTTTGAAATGGTGCAAATTATTTTGAAAGAAGACTTTTTTCTCATAAGCTGGGGTACATAATGTCGTCAAAAGGTGGCGATGCAAGCTACATGAAAAAAAACAGAAGAAGAAGCTGGAAACCAAAGCAGTTGTTTGCCAAAAACAAAAAAAAAGACTGAAGAAGAAAAAACAAGCAAAACTCTGCACATCTAAAGGGGGGAAATGGAAACAAGTCCACAGGAATTGTTTTCAGATGGAGAATTCAGCCACGTTTCATGATGTCCGGAGATAAAGACATTTTGACAATTACAAGATGCTCAGGAGACAATAAAGTTCAAATATTTTCTTTTTAAACCAATATAATGTCAACGCATCACTACTTTCAATTGTTATTTTCCTTAATCACATCTTTGGATCGAAAGGTCATTACTTTGACTTTCTGGAAATGGTTGAATATTTGGCAGCTACCTTCGGCACTGTGGGGTTTGGCAAACGTTTCCTTTCTGACCAAATTCATCATTTTCAGCCAGCAGCAGCAGCAGCAGCAGCAGCCGATCGTATTAGCGCTGTAAACTTATGCACCACTGCAGGCAAATTGTTTCAGGGTGTGTGTGAGATGCTGCAGCTATGAAGCTCCCCATTGTTGGTTCCATTGCGACCACTGACAGTGCGCAAAATATGCTTTTAGAGGTTGATTATATGAAGTGCATTGGATGCCTTGAATGCTGATGAGGCAGCGAAGGCTTCAAATGTGATTTAAAATCAGCCAAAACCCATCAATCAGCCATAGATTCTGCTCCTTGCCAGCAGTTAATGTATTTATTCTGCTGCCCACATCCTACTGAGTACTACTGAACAGTCTCTCATGCTTTACATCCCCTAAACATCCTGTTCCAAGCAGCAATCACAGAGACAAGCTACCCTCAACACGCCGTTTGAATGGTACTTCAAACTTTTCTATTCACTGGGCGCAGAGGCTGAAACAAAATAGATGTTTACCGACGAAGCCGACCGGAGTTTGGCCTGTGCCGGTGACTGCTGGCTCTAGTGCAAGCCAAGGACTGCAGAGATGCAATGGCCAGCGAGGAGAATAAATCCAGATTGAGTGGGCTGGTCGGTAGTGCAGTGTGGATCACGTAGTGTTGATCATCACTTCTGCTGCTGCTGCTGCTGGTGGTGGTGGTGGTGGTTCGCTGTGGCTTTTATCTCTTTTACATTAGCTAAGGCTCGATCCTTATGTGGGTGGCGCCTGATTGCTAGGCAGCATATGGTCCCTTTAGCATCAGATCATTCCACTACATGCTTAAGCAAGTGTGTGTGTGCGTCCCTGCCCCCAACCTTCCCCTTGCAGCTGAGAAGAACACATTTTGACAAGCCATAAGTTGGCACACCGTCTGCAGGACATGCATGCCCCGAGTTTCTGCCCTCTGGTAGAGATTGAGACGGCTGCAGGGCAAATAGGTTTTACTGCTAGTGCTGTTTTTTTTTGTTTTTTTGTTTTTTTTTAATGCTGGGTCATGTTGGGAAGATGCTGTGTGTGATTTATGTATTCCTTTGTATTTACAGGTGCACTGTTATTATGCAAAATTACCCTCAGGAATAACTGAATCATAATGTTTTACATAAGCCTGCAGCCGACTGATTTCTGATTGATGTCCTGTAGGGCTCTTTTCATTGTCGATTAAGCCGTTGATTACTTTCCCGAATAACGAAATGGTTGCTTGGTCTATGAAATGTCAGAAAACGGGGGAAATTCTTGATCAGTTTTTCACCAAGCTTAAGATGATAGTTCGACCACAGGTGTTAAGTATACATTACTGTATTCACCAACCAACTTTTAAAGAGATTTTCTAAAACTAGAACTGCAGTATTCACAATAACACGACCTGCACTGGGTTTCTGGGGTCAGAACCCTCATCAATGCTCTTTCATTGGCAATCTTTCCATTTGGTTCTAATAAAATCGGAGACTAAGCTTGACATTTTACTGACAAAAAAAAAAATAGAACAAACTGTCTGTAATTAGCATTTCTTGCTAGTTTTCAGCCAACACGTAATGACAGATGACTGATTCGTGCCAGCATTTACCAAAATGCAGATCTGCCAGTAAAAAAAAAAAAAAAAAAAGAAGTCTGAGCAATTATGTGAAACTCAAAACGGTTAAAACCTCGAGAACATACAAGAAAGCAAATATGGTTTCACCTCAAACTAGCAAATTAGCAATTTCCCGGAGGTATTGTACCGAAGGGATCAATAAAGTTTTATTCTAATTCTTCTATTCTAAACTAACTAGGAACCAAACTCTGCTTTTTTTTTTTTCTTTTAAATCAAGCCAACAACAAAACAGTAAATCAATCCTGCTGCTACCACACAATTTCAGTAAACTAGCACTGCAACGATTTATCAAATAATTGCACACTTGTCATCCATTTAATTAATATTTTGATGATCAAGCAAATTGGTTCGAGTAACGACTAAATTCTCCACCTTCTTAAATGTGAGTATTTCCTGGTTCCTGTCTTCCTCTACGACTGCACATCTTGAGCATCATCTTTGGGAAACACAGACTGACATTTTTTCCAACCATTTTACACACCGATGAAAACGAAACAGGCTCCAGGACCGATCAGAAAACCAATAACGAATGCTTGAGGGGCGCTCAGATGCTACACATCTGCAATAGGCCACTGACAACTTTTACCAGCGCTGATCCTACACACAGCTGAATATGGATCCGGGCCTTGGATCCTGGATGCTGCTGCTGCTGTCTGGTCGGGTCCACTCGGATGGCAGAGATTGGTCAGCAGATCCGACCAATCGCTGCTCCGCATCCCACGCACCCACTTAAAACCAAAAGTGATGGGAGCATCCTCTGTCCTAATTGATACCACAACCACCATTTCTCTTTGGCCTCTTAATTGACAACGTGTAGACTGGACATTTTGCACTTTTTGCTGCTTGTTATTGGATTTCTTGGTTGACCAGCTGCTCTGTATGTTATGATTTTATCCCCTTTGCTTGTGTCTGATTCTTCCTGTGTTGATCATGTCTTTATAAAGAGGCTGCTGTGTACAAATAGGAGTGTATGGTGGTTGTTAGTAGGCAGCTAGCTATCTGTATCTACATCTATATAATGCAATATGGAGTGTGAGTGTGTGTGTGTGTGTGTGTGTGTGGCAGCAGCAGCAGCAGCAGCAATCCTGTGGCCTGCTATGGCAGCCTCCTCTACAACCGCTGTAAATACACATAAATGTAGCCTCGGCCTGTTTCTCAGAGCTTCTGAGCTCAGATAAAACAGTGTTGGAGCCACCAGCACAGCACAAAGCTACCTAGACAACACCACAAAGAGCCAAATGTCGCTTAACGCACAGCAAACGTGAGCTGTCGATGCATTTTCCTGCCTGGTGCGTAAAAAAATGTGTCACAATTAGTCGCCAGGCCGGGCCTAATGAGCGTGTATTTTTGTCACGAAAACTAATTTGCACAGGCCTCGTTGCTAATAAGAGTGTAGGCTATGCCGAGAAGGGGATAAGAAATATCTGGGCCACAGGCTGTAGGCTACTGTCAGCCCTGGGGTATTGCACAGACAAGCGCGACAGGGAGCCAAAAGTGGGTGAGAAAAGCGTTTCCTTCTCGCCGGAGCTTCGACCGTTGAGTCGAAAAAAAAAAGCGAAGCGCTTCGCCGCGAACAAAAAACACACACAGCAACCTGTCAAAACGCCACTTTAATCGACACATTAAAGCGCAGGCCTGCCCACTGCTGTGTTTACCAGTCGGCGGAGGTTGAAAAAAAAAAGAAAAAATAGGAGCTGCTTACCATCTTGCAGGTCGGATGATGAAATCCAGGCGATGTGAGCGGAAAAGAGGTTCAACAGCGGGAGTCGGTAGGCCCACCGAGCTGTGGCGAGGAACACGAAGAGATATACGCGGTCGCGGAGCTCTCGGAGGTCTCGTCCTGGCTTTATACCCAAGCTTCGGGCTCGACTTCGCCGTCTCTCTCTCTCTCCTTTACCGAGGCTTTCACTGCAGTGGCAAAGGGAGGGAGACCCGCTGGGAGGGGACAGTAAAGCGGAGGAGGAGGTTCGCTTTGACAAGCAGGCGGTGGCGGAGGGGAGGAGAGCCGAGGCGGAGGGGGGGAGGTGCAGCAGTACTGTACATCCGGGAACTGCGGCCCTTGCTTTTATTTATTTATTTGCGCACCTCTTTGAACAGGTTTGTGCGCTTGCGCCCCCAGCTGGCGGTCCGGTGGTACTGCAGGGAGGCGTCGGTGAGGCCTGTGCACTCTTAACCTGAATGTACACAGCTGGCAGATGGACTCCATCTAATCCTCTGCATTAGAGCAGGAATCAGAAGAAAGTCCTGACGCTGGGACAATAACAGCAACACTGGAAGAACTACAGTAAGTTGGTCCTGACATTTTGGAGCTATTATAAAGCTCTGTTTTGAAATATTTTTGTCGGGTAACGCTGTTTTATCTTTTAAATGTAAAAATATGTATCTGGATACTTATGCATATTTTTTTCCATTCACAAATGTATGTTTTTTTTTTTTTTTTAAATGTAAGTTGAATGAGTTTAGGCTCTTAAAAAAAATCTCTGGTTTTTGCAATCATGGATGCACAAGTGGGATGTTTGCCAGCTTATGTTGTGTTTTTTTTTATTAAAAAAAAAAAAATTAAAAAGAAAACTGGGGATAGATGCACTCCCTAAAAACAATGTCTATTCTTATTGACACGTCAGGAATGTTTAGCCGACAGCCGCAAAGAATTTAAGCTAGTTAGTTAGTTAGTTAGTTCTGCAGCAAGCTAATTTAGCTTAACATTAGCTTAACCTAAAGTTAGCTAATGCTACCGCAAGTTAATATAACATAACAGTATTACAGCTTAATCTAAAGTCAGCTGGTTAGCTGACGCTTTAGCTAGCTAATGTAGCATAACATTATTAGCGTAATAAAAAGTCAGGTTGCTCGCTAGTACTATGGCAAGTTAATGTAGCATAACATTATGAGCTTAATAACAAGTCAGGTTGCTCGCTAGTGCTACGGCAAGCTAATGTAGCACAATATTATTAGCTTAATCTTACGAAAGCTAGTTTGCCCTTTAGCAAGATAGTAATATTACATGTTTACGGCTGTTTAGCTTTTATGTTGCTATTTTGATGATTGTGTACAGAATTAATCAAAACATTAATAGTCGTAAAGCTAGAGTTTTGAAAATCATTGATTTTCGTCGGAGTTCATAACCACACTGTAATGAATCATTAAGAAATTTAGTTAAATCAACTAATTTTGTCCAGTTTGCTTCATGTTAAAGAATTAGCTTGTTTAATTTTTATTTGCAGACCACCGCAGAACCTCAAAACATGAGAATATCAATATATGTATATATCAATATATGTATATATCAATATATCATCATCTGATAAGGTCAGATCAGTAACAGCTCAAGTGTACTGTAAATATGAACAGACAGAAACTGATGAAGCTTTAAAGCACATAAAACAGTACATAAAACAATACAAGTGTTAAATGAAAGAACCTGAAGCACAGAAGGATTTCTCATTTTAATATTAACAACATTATAAACAACACTTTCACAAAAAAGGTCAGAATGATATTAAATGTAAATTTCACGACTATATTGCACCATGTCGTTGTTGTAATTTTCTTTGATTTCTTGCATAGGTCAATTCAGTATTTAAATAAAAATATTTCACTGTCAATTCTACCAAAATACACACAGTCATATGAAAACATTTGGTTCACTGTACAAAAATACTATTTTTTTAAAATATGATTTACCACAACAAATAGAAAAAAATATGTTTTCAAGATACGTCATTAACAGTTTTGTATTCTGAATATTCCCAATACATTATTATTTCTCATTCTTCAACACAGATACCCATGGCTAAGTTCTTTGGAAGAGGTAGAGAGAACAAACACACTGTAAGGAGGGGACACGACTTCACCCAAATCCAACAAGTCCTACTTCAGAACCGCATGATACTGATCACGAAGTGGTACCACAGGTAACACACATCCACACACAGCTACACGGAGGGCTTCACTCCAAAACTGTGGCCTTTTTTTTTTTTTTTAAAACATCAGTCGAGGTGTGAGAAGTTGCATAAGATCATATAAGTGCAACCACAACATTTGAGGTAATTTCTTGATTTACATGAGAAGAAATGTGACTGCAAAGGGCTTTATGAAGATATAAAAATATTAATTTTTTCTGGCTAAGAGTTGCATATTTTATAGCCAGTGACAGATTTTAGAAAGATGCATGAGCACAGGGCACAAATTAATGAATTAAATTCCAAATTATAGAGCGAAATAATCGCTTTTTGTGATGAAATAGCGACTGCGTGGTAACACAGCATGCCTCTACCGTTTGATTCAGACAAGAGAGACTTAAAATAGTTTGGTTTAGAGCTTGTATCTCCCAGTTGGATGTTTTTCACAACTAAAAACAACTCAAAGTCGGCTGAAAGTAGCGCTGCTGTTTACAATTTACTGCTGATGCATTAAAAACAAAACTAAATTCCCTCATTTGAATAAATCCTTACCAGCGATGCACAATATTTGGATTTTATGACCAACATGCAGACACTTTCCAACAAGTTTTGGCTGACTTTTAACTCCCATACCCATAAATACACACATTTTTTTGCACCTAATTGCAGAATACACCAATTTCAGAGAAACTAGCATGTTATTTTTAAGCCTGCTCTTATTCTGAAGGTCCACATGTAATGCAAACATAAATACTCACTGAGCAAAAGAGGAAAATTACTCCAACCTACAAGTGAAACCTGTATTTTTATGCAACTTTTTAAACCAAAATGATAAACTTTAACCCCCGAAAGGTGCTCGCTGCTTGTTACTATTCATTTTAAGCTGATTTCAAAGACTTTATTAGCCGATATAATTGTGCATTTTTAATTCTTATCCATGTGTTGACATTTTTCTTGGCCGAACTTTGCAAATATACCCCCCGTTTTTAACATGAGAGGCTGCAGATGTCGAGGCAGTTAGCCACAGAAGGACAGATGGGAAAACTTTTGCTGGGAGCGAATGAAATAAAAATGTCACTGATGCAAGGATGCAGAACTCTGGAGACTCGAGCTTCACTTTCATGCCAGCGACCGTTTTTGAATTTGTGGAGATGCTGGATTTTGTAATGAAACTCTCTGCACGTAGCTTCAAAACACACACACAGATAAACAAAGCACCATCTGTAAAACACACACATACTATAGTTTAACACACACACACACTCACACACAGTACTGCACATGAGTCGCATCACACTGGAGGGTCACCAGACGCACCAACAGAACAGAAGGTGGACACACATCGATCTGGAAACGTCGTTCATTACAACAAAACGAGGACGCTACGCTTCACTTCAACCTGGATGAACAAACAGAACCTGCGTCGCTGCAACTCTCCACCACAGGAAGCAAAATAGGAAAAGTGTGTTTTCTTTTCCGTATGGGTAGAATACAGAGATCACCGATGGCAGCAGGCCGTCAGACAAACATCTCCTTGTTGACCCACATCAGCGTGCGCGTGTCGTTGGGTTTGCACTCGTACTCGATGCTGTTGAAGCTGTTGCCCCACTGGCAGTGGTCCCGCTTGTTGTAGTTGTAGTACTTCACCTGCCACACCGTCTCAAACATCCCGGCCTCCGTGAACTGAAGCGGAAGACATGAACACACACAGACAGATATCAGCGTCTTGGACTGCCGTGGTGTGATGATGCACCGCAGACAGATGGGAACAAACACTCTCAGAAGAGCAGGACGCTCACACAGACTGACACTAGATCATGTGTAAAATCATGTGAAGGTGAAACGAAGAGGAAGCAGACTGACAGGACAGATGGACACCAACACTCTGACCGTCCCAGAGGCCTCCGGCTGTGTTCACAAGCAGATGCTCATATGTGTGTGTTGACATTAATGGCATTTTTGCAACACTAACAAGCATTTCTGCTCCTTTTTCTGAGTGAGATGTAAGTTTAAAGGTAAAAATAAGCATTTAAATGAAACTTTTACATCATCTAAAGGTTATTGTCATTGTCAACTAATCTCTCACAAAATGGTAAAATGTCAGAAATGTGTAAAACTAAATAAATAACAGATGTTTGTGAGTGTTTTAAAAAGCCAAGATGACCAGTTTTTTTCCACAACCCCGACATATTCAGCTTGGTGTCAGATGGAAGAAAAAAAACGAGGAAAAATTCAAATGTAGAAAGCTGGAATTAGACAAATTGGACTTTTTTTCCTCCTTAGAAAAATACGTAATCCAAAAAAATCAATCATCAAAATGGCAATTCGTGTAATAGTTGACAACAAATCGATTAATCAGTTGGCTGTTTTGCTTGTAAAATGTCAAAAAATTGTAAAGAATGGTTGCCGTTGTTTCACAAAACCCAACATGACGTCCTCACATGTCTAGTTTATGTCTAAAAATACAAAACTATTCAGTTTACTGTCACAGAAAAGGAAAATAAACTAGAAAATACTCACATTTAATCACACAATGTTGCTGTTTTAAATGAATAAATTACTCAAACTGATTATCCAAATAGTTAGCGATCATTTAATAGTTGACAAAAGACGCCTCCCATTAGAATTCAGGGTTTTGATGGAGCTACTTTGCTACAGTGACAATAAGTAACTAATATTAGTATAATTGATCTACCGTGTAATATAGAATTACCCGCAGCTGCTGAAAGGATTTTATGACTTTTTTTCTGACACTGCATAAAATCTATTTGGGTTTTAAGCTGTTGGTCACACAGAACCATATATCTGAGGCCATCACCTACAAAAATGTGATAAAATCCTCTAAACTATCACAAGAATAAAAGATCTTGGAAATGTTTTTACTCTGCAGCCCTAAAAAGGTTCAAATAATTATAAACTTTGACGCCTGAGACGGAAATTCCTGCTGTAGTTAAGCTGTAACCATGGAAACACACGTAACAATCAGGATGCGCTGTGCAAAAACTGCAGCCATGGAAACACTGGCAGAGGCGTAACCATAGCAACAT